AAGGTTCATAAAATCACATAAGTTACTCTCAAAATTCAAGCTCAACACAACCATAAAACTTACTAGAATTATAATAAAATACAAAAATAAGGAGACATTTGCTAGCCAAGCTCCATTTATTCTCTAGTGTAGCAGATGCAATTGTTCTTCTATGTAGAAGAGCTCTAGGCAACCTTTGCATTATTATTGCTCATCAATCCAAATTCATCATTGCACACCAATTAATTAAAGAGAAACAAATAGAAAAAGGGAGGTAGACTAAGGTGGTTCTTAAAAAATCAATAAATTCCTTGCACTTGGAAATTTTTGTAACTTTATTTCTTCATAATGTATGCATTATTGATTGAAAATTCTTTAAAATTATAGAACAATGAAGACCCCTAATTTACTTACACTTCTACATTATGCATTGTTTTCAGATGTTGAATAATAAAGTTTATAGATTACATTACATTGTGGTAAAATCTGACAATATTTCATATTATATATGATAAATCAGGCTTAAGGAAAAATCATCTCCAGAAAATGGAACTGTTATTGAATATTAGTGACCCAATTCTTATCATTTCATAATAATTCAGAATAACAAAAAGTTCTAAAATTGCAAGGAAAGAAAATTGTTGAACTTACCTGATTCAAGAGAGATGTTATCCACAAGGTTGGCTAGAGTCTTCTCTTTTCTTATTTCTCTTTCATTATTTGCTAATCTCTGTTTATTTGCTTCAATGTTTTACTTGAAGCAACAAAAACAGCCTATCACACCACCAATTTTTTCAATATTTTGTAGAATTCACCCCGATTCAATCTCGCGGCGGTGGTGTCGTGGAGGAGTTAGGGCTGGGGCTGGGGGCGACAACGAGTGGGGCTGGGGTTGGGGGAGGGGAAGAAGTTGGAGAGAGGGGGAACTGGAGATCGAGGTGTTGGCCTTCTTGTTTTGATGATGATTTACAAATAATTTATATCTAATATTGTTTGTCTAATGTTTGTGTTTTATATTTATTGTAGACAAAAAACATGTTGGAGGATGGATGGAATTACGCATTCACGATCATATCCAATGAATGTTGGCGGAATAGTAGGTCAAGCTATGTACAACTCAAGTTGAACATCCAAGTTCAAGCTTCATCCGCAAAATTACCAAGTCAAGCTATTGAAGATCAAGATCAAGCTTGGGTAATTTAGTTTAGGAGTTTATATTATGTGTGTTAGTACCTTAAGCTCAATATAATATGCACACACATTTTATTGGTTTCTTTGTATATATATAAAGTTATATATATATATACATAAGTTAAGTTTTGGTTTCTATGTATATTTAGTTATATATATACATACATGGTTTTGAGTTTTCAAGTTTTACTATAAAACAATTGAATACAATTGAAAATACATTTTTTGTTTCATACTTATATGCATATATATGATTTCATCAATATCAATTTTATTTAGTTCAATAAAATCATGTTTTAGTGCATTATATGTGTATTTTAATAAAATACTATATTCATTATTTATAGACTTCATAACAATAGTTTACATCTTTCTTCAAGTCTATAAAATTATTTTGTAATGTTTCAAAACATGGTTAAGCTAAAATATCAAAACTCATGTGTTCACATTTTTATATTTTGTAGCATGTCTATTATCCTGTCTACAATCATTTCCTAAAGTTTTATATTTTTTTGAATTTATTTGATATTTTTAAATAGGGTTTTAAAATCATAAAACTATTTCAAACCTGTCAATTTCTAATATCAGTTTGCGGTCGACCACCACGGTCAACCGCCCTTGAGTCCAGAGACTCAGGATAGTTTTTGATAGCTCGCGGTCGACCTAGCGGTCAACCGGATGCAGTCCAGAGAGTTTCGCGGTCGACCGTCATGGTCGACCGTCTGTTGTCCAGAGCCAAACCCTGGCCTTTTTGTTGCTTGCGGTCGCGGTCGACCGTCATGGTCGACCGTCTGTTGTCCAGAGCCAAACCCTGGCCTTTTTGTTGCTTGCGGTCGACCGCGAGCTTTCCACGCTCAACCGCCGATTTGACCATTGGTCTCCAACGGTTGTTTCCTGAGCTGTTTTTCAGGGGGCTTTTTGGTCTTTTCTGTTAGGTTTTTGGCTGATATTTTGGGAGGCTATACATATACCCCCTTGCTCTCATCTTTCATGCTTAACTAAGAGAATGTTTTAAAGAAGTTTTAAAAGAGTTTAAGTTTGTTTTAAGTTTGTTTAAAGGTTCGTTTTGTAAAAACAATTTCACAAGAGCTTGAGGAAAATCATCTACATTGTTTGAGCATCCAACTCTTCTATCTCTCCCTCTTGATCTATAGAGAAGTTTTCCTAAACTCTATTTCTAGCTATTATTATTTTATTCATAAATTCCCATAAGCTAGATTTTAATTTAGTTTTGTTGATTTGATTTCACTCATTGTTTACACACACCCACTTGAGCTTATTGTATTTTCATACATAGTATATTTGGGTTGGTGAGAGTTGTAACAATTGAGTGTGTGCTTTAATTGAGTTCTCGCCTTGTATTATAGAACAAATCATTTGTTGTTATTTGAGAGTGTTGTAGAGTTTTCGGTTAGCTAGAAAACTGTATTGTGAGGTGTGGAGTGTAGACGTTGATCGGTGATCGTTGAAAACCGATACTGTGAGGTGTAAACGTTATTCAGGTGAGCGTAAAAAACCCAGTTGTGATAGTGGATTTCTTGTGACGCCCCTGGGTTCACACAAGGCTGCAGTCCAAGGTGAAATCAGGAATGTCAAACCTATCATGCACTACACCGTGCAATAATACGTTTCACCATCATAATAAGTATCCATCTAGTGGAATCAACAACAGGTGTAGGTACAAAACAGGCAAAAGAAAATATAATGGAACAGTAATAAACAATAGGTGATCTGAAGAAAATAGTCATCACTGATATGAGTAAATAAATCTCTGAGAAGAAACAATATCTGAGCTAAATACAAATGTCTCGACACAGGGAGAAATAACATTTAGGAACCTCGCCTTTACAAAAACTAGAATAAACTCTCAATTGTTCATAAACAAAATTTATTGTGGAGTTCAAACATATACTAATAATATCTATGAATAACTGCTAGAGCAAATCCATCAACCTACGGCTCTCTGTGCACCTGGCTCGTTACCTGAAAGTGGGGAAACAACGAGCGTCAAAGCTCTATAGCGGGTAACATCACAACCAACCCCAAGGGAAAGGGTTTGTTGTATACAGAAAATACAGATAATATATAATAGACACAAAATCATTAGTCCTAACAAAGAGGGCTTTAATATTTAGGAATTTACAACACGAACATAGGTACGTCGAGCGAAATAATCCAAACAAGGAAACCCTCATGTATATACCTCGTTATCTCAAGTTGCAAACCCTTAAATATCAAACCCAAGAGCTAGAACAGGAACAATAATAATAATAGGAAGAATCGCACACCCAAACTCCGAACTCATATACTATCTCATGTCACAACTCATGTACATGTCATGTAAAGCATATACAGTATAAATGTCAAAATCAAGGTCTAAATTGATGTCCAACACATGGACTAAAATCAAAAGTAGTGGATGTTCAACACATGGACTGAAAGGTGGTTGTCCAACACATGGACTGAAAGTAAACGTCCAACACATGGACGAAAAAGTGAGTGTCCAACACATGGACTGAAAAGTAAATGTCCAACGCATAGACTAAAAGGTAAATGATGTCCAACACATGGACTGAAAGGTGGTTGTCCAACACATGGACTGAAAGTAAACGTCCAACACATGGACGAAAAAGTGAGTGTCCAACACATGGACTGAAAAGTAAATGTCCAACACATAGACTAATGGATTATAGTCCAACACGAGGACTGAAATGGATTATAGTCCATTACGAGGACTTTAATGAATTATAGTCCAACACGAGGACTTCAATGGATTATAGTCCAACACGAGAACTGAACAAACTATACCAATATCTAAGCGATATGCGAAAAGATAAACTTCACAACTTTCACACAAATAATCTGATTTCGGGGAAGCGTAGCTATTCAATATAGTTTGATTCTGAAATGCTTGCTAGATTACTTGCTTGCTTTCAGCTTTACAAGTATAGGTTACAGGTCCGGCATATAGTATAGCTTGACAAAGATCTTTCTTCAAACTGTGCCTACTCGCCTCTCTCTTTGGTATTCCTACGTGCAAGTGAACAACCTTCTCTTGGCTCGGGGACAGATCAGAGCAAGGTAAATAGAACCGATCTATCGCATCACGTCAAGCTAACCTTTTCCATCTAAATGAACTTTGCCTTATAAATAACATCTTTCTCGGATGGATTGGCTCACTCCAATTGGCTTTCTGAATCAGCTCACCTTTCTCAGAATCTGGATTCGGGTTCTTCAGGGACAGTGGAAGGGTAGACCACAGAATGAATATCAGCACCATGTTGGAAAATGGCTTTTCTTACTCCCTCCATCATGAGTTTAGGGGGTACTAAGATGTTGTGCTGAAGCAGTGTTCATCTCTTCAGCTACTCTACTGAAAGACGGAGAAACTTTTTCGAATAGATGCTTGATGCTGTCCAGAACGTCGAACTAGAAAGATGAGATGGGCCGATCCTCCACGTGAACTGGCAGCCATAGCAATTGAACTCTGGCTTGAATGAGAAGGCTATCAAAGCCTAAACCCCCTCATCAACTTGCTGTTGGGCAATGGACATGTGACCTGGCTTGGGGCGAAGTCCCTCTGGCACAGGAGCGAAATGGCCTTTCGCGTAAGTACTGGCATCATAAAATGCAGAACCAACCCCACCTCTATCTTTCTTATAGAAGCAAGCAATGGAGCAAGCTTTATAGAAAGATGTTATTGCGCCAAGACACATAAGGCAAAGTTCAGACATGCAGAAGGTACTTGTTTGGTATAAAGTAGCCAACGAGTAGACGCACCAAATGCCAAAAGTCCTCCCTCACTTGAGTGCCCCTTTAGAGTAATACTAATGTCGTTCTCTAGTAGTATGCTAGAGGGAAACTTTATGCTGGGTAGTGGCACCAACAGGAAAATCCCAAGGATAGAGAACAGCTCTATTCAATGCCGTTATACAGCAGATGTCACTGGCATAGCGGTCCATTGAGATAGCTATCAACTGGCCCAGTGACCTCTCCGCAGCTGTAGTTATAGTATAAAGTTTCCGCGGGTAAAGACAACTGAATGAACAATTCAGGGAAATCCAAATGGTATTACTACTATAAAAGACAAAAGGAACGCCATGCCTCACAAATTCTGGATAGCTCAATCATTGATTGATGTGCAGAGAAAAGACGAAGATAAGGTCAAATTAATCAATTTTTGGAATACATTTTATTATCATTTAATTACTATTCAGGAAGAAGAGAGTCTACATAAGACTAAATCTTATCAGTATAAGGAAGAAGTCTTCGAAAATTTGCGTAAAGGAAAAGAGAACTTATCATTAGGAGAAGATGAATTACGTAAGATCCAACTTGATATTGAGGACCTGACTCTGAAATTCGATGAAGAATCTTTGTTTAGGAGTGTTCCCAATATAATCAAAATTTTAATCAAGAATGATGAAGAATGTGCTAAGGATATTCTTAGGAAACGTTTGAAAACACAGAAGGATATCGAATTGATTTCGGAGTTCGGTCAATATACGATTGAGGCCTTAATTGTTCATGTGTTAAGTATGCTTTTTAACTCAGTTAATCCGGAAACATCTATGATTCGTGTTTCCACTTTGATTGAACGACTAGAGAATAGTGTCCGTACCCAAGCTTTTTTATTGATAAACCGCAGGTGTCAAAAGAAGTTCACTATGTCCACTGAAACCACGGATAATGAAAATGGGAAGAAAAGATCGAAATTGGAAAAGATGTATCCCATTGGTTCAGGATTAGTTGAATTCATGGATGAAAGGGGTTTGATCACATTAATGAATGATAAGAGCGGGAATGTTCGAGTGATGAATAAAAAAGGAGCTTATTTTATTCCGAACCATCTCTACGCTGTCTGCAACTTTGATATTTCTTTACTACCGATCAAGCTCAACCTGCCAATGGTGTGCAAACCTCTTGATTGGACGAGTGCCTGCCCGGAGGGGCAAGAGCCTAGAACTCTTTCCGATCTATCAGGGGGTTATTTAAGTTGTCCAACTGGGGATATATATGATCGTTACCGTCTGTTAAGTACCGGTAGCCTTCATCATTATTTTATTGATATTGGAAGGGGAAAGGGAGATTATCTGAAACTGTGTGATATAATGAACAAGCTGCAGAATCAGGCCTTTCAAATAAACAGTGATTGGTTGCAATATATTGAAAATAATGAGAAGTTATTAGTTGACTATGGTTATCTCAAGCCAAGATTTCTTGTTTCTTTGAATTTAAAAAAAGCATCTGACTTACTTAGAGAGTTTCACATGAAGGATAAGGATATTAATAAATTATGTAGCTTTAGCGAATTGTTACAAACATTAAATAAGAACATTCAATGTTCTCGTTATGAGGATTTGATTATCAAACTGGCAAAAGCCTACGATGGTTATCATTTTTATTTGCCTGCCTTTCTCGACTTCCGAGGTCGAATCTACCGCAGTGGGATCTTGCATTTCCATGAGCGTGATCTAGCTAGAAGCCTGATCCTCTTTGCTGGTACGAAATTTGAGAAACCTCTATCTAATATATATAATAATATTATTGATGCAACAGCCTTCCATTATAAGAAGTTCACCACTGTCAATGATGCAAAATACTGGTTTTTAAATAACATTGATAAGATAAAAAGAAATCCTATCGATTTCGCTCGGGAGGCTAAACACCCCTTTCAGTTCCTGGCCAATGTTATTGGACTTAGCAATGAGAAAACGGAAGTTCTTATGAACACACCTATTACCCAAGATGCCTCAGCGAGTGCATATCAGATTATGAGTTACTTCTTGATGGATGAAATCCTGGCTAAGAGAACGAATCTCATCCCATCCGAAGATGGTCAAATCCAAGATTTGTATTCTTTCTTGCTCAAAGAACTCATTGAGTTCATGAAAGCAGAACTCGATAATAAATCTCTATCAAATACTGTTTGCCAAATCCTCAATCGTAATATAGTCAAAAAAATCTTTATGCCAATTATCTATGGCAAAACTGTAATGAGCACAACCATGGATCTGAAAGAACATCTCTCTCACTACATCACTTATAAGGATTGTTGCGTTGTAGCCAAAGCCTGCTTTAAGTTCTGGAATCAGAGATGTCCTGGAATGAGTTGCCTGATCCGGTTGATCCGTCATATAGGCTGGATCGTGTCTGCAGGGGATCGCCCTGTTTTCTATAAAGTTCCTTTCTTTACCACGGTACAGGATTATATGAAAATGGAGGCAACAAACAAGAACAAATTGATCAACATAATTTTAATTGTTATTAATTGGGATTAGATTAGCATAAGACCCTAATCACCCCCCCTCTAGGGTCTAACAATTGGTATCAGAGCTTGGTGCTCTTTGATTTAAGGACTAACCGCCTTGAGTTAAAGATCCAAGTTATTGCATTTGTGCCAATCTAATTTTAATTACTTTGTGCTTCTTGCATTTCATCTATATGGATATGTATGATTCATCTTGTTTAGGATATGCTATTAATATTGCTCCTCGTTTGGATATTTTCCCCTATGCCCAATGGCGTATTAGATTCAAACTTTTTGTTCAATCTAATCAATTTGATTTGTGGGAAATTATTGAGAATGGCTATGTTGTTCCCATCTTGGAAAAATCCAAATGGTGTGATAATGATAAAAGATTGTTTCACATGAACAAGCTTTTGTTAGAATATTTGATTAGTGCCTTTCACTCATCGTTTTCTAATAAATTTGCTAATTTTGATAGTGCTCACGCTTTATGGAAGTTTATTGAAGCACATGAAGGGAAATTGGAGGCTATTCAACAAGCATTGGAAAATCTTGCTTTGAGTCCTAAGGAAGCCTCATCCCCATATACATTACCACTAGGTGATAACCCTAGTGAGGTATGCGATAACGATGATACTCTTACTTTTGATGAACTTTCTCTTGAGTTTGAAAAATTGCATAATTGCTATATTGATGTAAAAAATAAATATGTTAAAATGAAATCCACTCATGAAACACTAGCTACTAAGTTTAACTTCATTGAAAATGAAAATATAATTCTTAAAGAATGCAATGAAAATTTGAAAATTGAAAATGCTAGTTTGCTT